GGCAGTCTGCTTTCGTAAAAATTTACAGCCTTGGAAACCCTATGGGGCAGCTGTACTCTGTCCTATAGGGTTGCTGTGAGTTGGAATCAACTCAACGGCAATGGGATTGGTTTAAAAAGAAACCATGTAGTCATTAGCTGTCACTCACCATTCATCCCCAACCAGCCTCTGGCAACCACTAATCTTTTTGTTTCCATGGATTTGCCTATTCTGAACATTTCATATAAATGGAACCATATAATATGTATCCTTTTATGTCTGGCTTCTGTCACTTAACATAATGTTTTCAAGGTTTATCTATGTTGTAGCATATATCAGTACCTCATTCCTTTTTAAGGCCGAATAATATTCCATCGTATGGATGCACCACATTTTGTTTATTCATTCGTTAGGTGATGGACATTTGAATTGTTTCCACTTTTTGCCTATTACAAATAATGCCGATATGAACATCTGTGTACAAGTTTTTGTGTAGATATATGTTTTCAATTCTCTTTGGTATATACTTAGGAGTGGAATTAATAGACTATATGGTAACTCTATGTTCAGCTTTTTGAAGAACTGTCAAACTGTTTTCCATAGTGGCTGCATAAGTTTCCATCCCCACCACTAATTTACGAGGGTTCCTATTGCTCCACATCCTCACCAATACAGTTTCCTCAGGCTGCTGTAACAATATATCACAAACGGGATGGGTTGTAAGAATGGAAATTCGTTTGCTCACCGTTCTGGAGGCTAGTGATCCAAATTTCGGGTGTTGGCAGGTCAGTGTTCTCTCTGAAGGCACTAGGGGAAGTCTTTCTTGTCTCTCCAGCTTCTAGTAGCCCCAGGTATTTCTTGGTGCTCTTTGGCTTATAGATGCAAGGCAATCTTGTCTACGCGTCTTCTTCTTTATAAGGACACCGCTCACATGGGATCAGGACCCACTCTACTCCAGTATGACCTCAGGTTAAAGGATAACATTTCCAAAGACCCTATTTCCAGATAAGATCACATTCACAGGTACCAGGGTTTAGGATTTCAACCTATCTTTTGGGAGCAGGAGGTGAACACAATTTGGTCCATAATATGCTGTTGTTTTCCCCAAACTTTTGCCGTTACAAAGAGTGCGTCAATGACTGCCTCTTGTACATACTGTTCTCCGCCTGTAGGAGTCTGTGTTTCCCAGGAGTGGAATTCTGGGTTAAAGGCCATATGCATCCTTTTTATCGATATTGCCGAGTTGATTTCCATAGAGAGTGTCCCACTTTACACTTACCAGCAATGTAGAGATGTTCTTTAAATGGACACAATCGTAAGGCCACATTTGTGAAGATACTGCATTCTTAGTATGGTACTCTGTGGGCTGACTGTGGAACCACTTCTCTTGAGGAGTTTGGGGACAGGGTAGCTCATGAAGAGTTTTCCTTTGTTAGTATGTAGTTCTCAAGGAGGAGGTCTGAAGAGAGTTTGTTTGGGGGCTTTATCTACCCTTTCTTAGTGGTACAATAGGTACGCACTGAAGACACTGTACAAGATAATCATTCGTTCATTTATTCCTTCCATCAACAAATATTTAATGAAACTAAGTCTACTACATGGTGCTAGGATGGAATGAAAACAAAATCAGATCCAGACACTGCTTTCATTAAAGTTTTCAGGCTTTTAAGAAGCAGAATAGTTCTGGGCTCCCAAGCACTGCAGTATATTAATTATAGTCTACCTTAGGAGCTAATCAGATTAATAACTACCACTTATTTTGCCCTTACTATACACTAAGTGCTTTATATTATTCAATTTAATCTTCACAACAATCTTAGTAGGTAAGAACTATTATTACTATTATTACTCCTATTTTAGAAATGAAGAAACTGAGGCAATCAGAGGTTAACCTAAATTGTGCAAGAACAATAGCTAGCAAATTGCAGAGCAAGATTCAAACTCAAGTCCAACTAATTTCTAAAGCTAATAAAACCAGTTGCCGTTAAGTCAAAAAGAAGACAGAAGAATTGACGCATCCGAATTGTAGTGTTGGCAAAGAATACTGAATAGACAATGGACTGCCAGAAGAACAAACAAATCAGTCTTAGGAGAAATAAAACCAGAAGGCTCCTCAGAAGCAAGAACGGCAAAACTTCATCTCACTTACTTTGGATACATCATGAACAAAGGCCAATCACTAGGAAAGAATATAATGTTTGATAAAGTAGAGGGTCAGCAAACACAATGGAAACCGTCAATGAGATGGATTGAGACAATGACCACAACAATGGGCTCAAACATATAAAAAATCACTTAAATGATGTAGGACTGGGCAATGTTCCATTCTGTTATACATAAGGCCACCAGAAGCTGGAGTCAACTCGATAGCAACTAACAACAACCCTATAATGCCTTGGGTTAGTTATCTTTTTTAGAGCTTGCTTGTGATAAGTTCATTTAGAATGAGAACTTACCCATATATTTCATAGCACAGGTATTCCCTGACTTATGACATATTCGAACCACACTGAAGACGGTCCTTTTTGTTTTGCTTATAACATGCATGTTAACTGGAGAAGCAGGAAGCCCCAGTTTTGAAGCGGTAAGTTTAAATGTAATGCTTCTAACCTCCAAAGACAAATAAAGATCAGATTTATAAAGATACTGATTATAAAAGGCAATAATAGTTAAAACTTTAAAAAAATATTCAACTTACATCAGAATAGACTTATGATGCAGTTGTTGGAATGGAAGCCAATCGAAAGGCAGGGACTACTTGTATGTTAATTAAAAAAAAAACAAAACAAAACGCTGACACCAAGTAGATTCCAACTCATAGCAAACCTATTAAAAAAAAAAACAAAAAAACCCAAACCCATTGCTGTCAAGGCAATTCCGATTCACAGCAACCCTAAAGACTCTATTTATTGAACATCTATTATGTGACAGACACTTTACATGCATTATTTCTAATCTTCACGACTCTGTTTTACATATTAATTTCCCATTTTACAGATAAGGAAACTAAGGCTCAAAGAGGTTAATTAACTTGGCCAAGGTGGTAGAGACAGGCTAGAATCCGGTTCCAAAAGGGCACAGTGCCTACCCAGAGCTGATGGTCAATATTTGTGGGTTGACGGGTGGGGAAGCACAGGGGTACACTCACCCAAACCCTGGTTATCTGCATCTGGATGATGCTCAGACAACGGCAGTGACTGTGGGAAGAGGGAATTATTGGATGCCTATTCCTTCTCTCCAACTGTGAGAAAATATAAATTTAGAGATCACAATAAGCAGAGCCCTGAATTCATTCACTGAACGTAAGCTACCATGAGCAACGTCTCTCACTTGGGAGTGTTGTAGCAAATGATACAAATAGAGTTAATACTATGGATTGTTTTCTATGTGCAAGGCACCGTCCTCAGTGCTTCACGGATTACCTAATTTCATTTCCACGTAAGGACCGTCATTATCCCATATAACATCTAAGGTAACCAAACTACAGAAGGGTTCAAGGAATCACCCTAGGTGCCCAGCTAGCGACTGGTGGCGCTTGGGACACCTGGCAATGTGACGTCAGAGCCTGAACCGCTCCTAATAACTGTCCGAGAGAAGGGTCACAAAGTGAAGCACAAAAATAGAGAGGAAACTCTGGTATAACGAAAGACCAAGAATTCCTGCAGGCCGACCAACAAAGCTAGTTGCACAGTGCCTCCCTGCCCGCTGGCACGTCCCCACCCCAAAGGACTTCAGAGAGCCAGGAAAGTAGGGCAAAGGTCGCGGTGGAGGCGGTTTGGCTCCTCCCTCCCGGAATGTTCAGTCCCTCTGCAGAGAAGAGCCCAGAGCGCGCAGAGCTGTGGGAGCGCCTGGTTCTCTCCCATCCAGCCTGGGCCCTTAACTGAGCACCGCACCACTGGTCCCAGAACTCAGTGACCTGCCTTGGGTCACCCCCGCCCCCGAGCTTTGGTCTCCCCTCCCCTCCTCCCCACCCAGGAGAAAGGCAGTGAAGCCACCAAAAGTCTTCCCTTCGCGGCGTGGATGTTCCTTCGCAAGGGGCCTCCCCATCCCCAGTGTCTCCCCAGGACCCCATTTTCTGAGATCCCCCTTGTGTGCTCGCATGACAGGACGTCTACATTTCCTTAGTTGGGGGTGGGGTGGCTGATACGTGCGCTTAGTATGGCTTCCCATCCTCCAAATCTGGGCATAAAGCTGGACCCTGACCTTGTAGCTCTTTAGCTCAAAATGAAAGCATCCGTAAAAATCATGGTGTGGCCAGTGTTCTCACGTTTGTTGGAGAAACTGAGGCGCAGTGAGGCTAGTGACTTGCCACACGCAGTTAGGAGCAGACTCTAGGGCTAGATGACCATTTCACGTTTTCCTAAGCAACATGGCAAACTCTCACAGGGGCCTCCCTCACCATTCCAGAAATGTCGATTGGAGTTACACCTCGGGGTTTGGAAAAGGGCGTGGGGGTGGTGTCTAGAATGCTGATTCCTCAAAGTGAAACAAAGTCCGCTCTGGTTTCTTCAGCTCCTGAAATGGGGAAAGCATGGGGGTGGTAGGGGTCTGACAATTGGTACTTTGTAGAAACCTGTGGTGAACAAACCATGTTCGCTGCTTGGGCTTCATCCGATTTCAGGGTACTTGGACCGGTCACGTCAGGAGTACCTTCCACCGACTTGGTCTGGGGGTGAATGTGCTTTCTGATTCCTTCAAACGTTTCCTACAACGGAAGAGGCAGTGGACGTTAATATACACGCCTAGTCCCACTCCAGACCTCAGTGACTCAGAAGCGTACCGCCGGTGCGTGTGGAAACAGATCCCAAGGCAAGGATCCACCGACCATTTCCAGGCACCGCCTGTCCCCTCTTCTAGGCGGGGCCGCATACGTGCGTCGGGGCACGTGAGTGCGGGCTGCAGTGCGCGCGCTCGTCTCGGGTGGGCGGGTGCCTGCGGGTCCCAGTGCGCGTGCGCATGTCTCGGGGGGCGGGGCCGGGTATAAGTAAACCTCGTGGCGGCTGCTTGGGGCAGGGTTTTCCGCTGGTGGTGGCATTCTATGTTTAGGGCTCTTTCGGTGGAGATCCGGCGCTGCATGTTGGCTAACTTTCCTTGCGACTCCTGCACGACCTGCTGTACAGCGAACGAGCCACTCGGAGCCCTGCCTCCACGAGGTGAGCAGCCCCGACCTGAGATCCTGGTCCCCGGTTCCCCGCCCGGATCCCTCGGGCTGCAGGCCCAGCCGGCCGCGCTCCATTTCGGGCTGGGGCTCGCTCCTCGCTGCCGCCCGTCGGGATCCACAGTCAGCCCCCCCGGCCCCGTTTTCTCCTGGGAGAGCCTTAGCTAAAGTTCTGAGCCTGTGGGTCCACGTAGCTCACCTCGTCCTCGCTGGTGCTGGGCGTCCGTATCCTGTCTCCCCAAAGCTCCCTTAACATCTCCGTCCTGTCACTGCACTTAGAGTGCTGTATGGTATGGTCACTGCCTGTTTTCTTGCCTATGTTGCCCCTAGACTGTAAGTTCCATGAGGGCAAGATTCATATATACAAGGTTTACCCCGAACCTTCCAGGGTGTCCAACACATTGTAGATTCAGGGTATATTTGTGGAATGAGTGAACTTCATCCTTTTAGGGTTATTTTGAGTTTCAAAAAGTTTATGGTTAAAGAAAGACCCAGTGCATAGGGGACACTGAGCTTCTGTTAAGGATGATGGAAAATTTTGAGAATGGTTAATGGTGATGGTTGAACAGCATGACGAACGTAATTAATGTCACATGTGAAGATTGTAGACCTGGCACATGTTCTGTTATCTATATTCCTAACACACACACAAAAAAGTTTCTGCTTAACTCAGTTCTGACTGAGATGTGGAAGACTTCTAGGCAGCTTGCTTTTTCTAGAGCATGTTCTTATATCTCCCCTCCCTATCAACAAAAGGACTCAGTCTGTTCTTCAGGAAGGTTACTCTTCCCTGAACTGTGGCACAGGGACTGTGCATTGCTCCTGGCAAGAACAAAGTCTTCAGGAGAAATAAAACTTTGTAGACATGCTCTTGAATTCATCCAAGAAGCAAGACTGGCCCTGCAGCCGTGAAGTGTACGGTGTAAATACACTCAGAGATTCTGCTGTGGAGGAATGCCTATTGGTCGCTGCCTGCTTGACTGGCCAGGCCTTTCCCTTAGCTCCACAGGGAGAGAACGGTCAGGGCCAGATGCTTGCATATCCCAAAAGGCTGTAGATTAACCTCTCCTCTCTTTCCGTAGGATCCAGAAGCAGAAGGCAGCTCTAGCAGCTTTGCAGAGGAGTGAGATCCTTTCAGCCATGAGGCATATGTTGAACCTCTACTTCTTGGGTGTCGTGCTGACCCTGCTTTCCATCTTTTTTGGACTGATGGAATCACTGGAGGCCTTACTGGAGGGTCCATCAACTGGGACCTCCTGGAGCACCAGAGGTCAACTAGCCAGCCCAGAGCCCCCCAAGGGCCTTCCAGACCGTCCATCTCAGCCCAGAGGGTTGTGATAAGCCCTCCCTCCAGCCAACATAACCTTGAACACTGGTCAAAATGCATCCCGCCAGGTGTCCCAGTTCCTAGGGAGGCAAGCTCAGAGCAGCAGTGTTATTAGAGAACTGACTGTGACTAGCCCCTTGAAGGGCCCTCTGTCTGGATGCTCCCTGCCCTGGAAAGGAGCCTGTTTGACCCACAGGTGTGAGTGGTTGCCTGTGGCCGTGGAGTGGAGTAATCTCAGTCTTCTCCCCAGGGTCTGCTATATGGTTTGCTGTCCTGGGCAGGGTGATTCCAGCTTCTCTCAGTGGGGGTTTGTGCTGCAGCTTCGGCTGTTGGGAGATAGTGATGTTTTCCCCCTACTCCCTAGACATCTTCCCAGAGCTGCCTTTGGACTTGGGTGTCTTGCAGTCAGTGGATTTGGTGTTCGGCCCCTCTTCCATGAGACTGCCTCTGCGTTTGGATGACAGTCGATATGTGGGTCAGCTGTGAGGACAGGGAAGATGGAGCATTCTCGTGTTTTACATTTCTAAGTCACTCCTCTAACATAGTGTGTGTGCGTATGTATTGGTCTGAAGTGGGTGGTAGGGTAACACAAAGCCTGCTCGAGACATGGGCATGGTGGCCACCGTGTGGCTTAAATGAATTTTTCTAATGCAATAAAGTTGAATATGTTTTCACCCTGTGTCACGTTGGCTTCTGCCCTTGAAATTAGTGGTAGGGAATGAGCTTCATTCCTAGATGTGAGTTTTAACAGTTTAAAACTTTTTTTTTTTTTTAAATCATAATGGTGTTTAATATCAGCCACAAACATATTTTGAGAAATAAGATGGTTAAAGAATATATCTGGAGTACATTTATCATGTATATATACATATACACACACATATACATTGCTCAAGCTATAAGAATACCAAAAACACAAAACAACTCTCATATGAAATGTTTAAAACAGTAACAAGTACATTGTTATTGTTAGTTGACACCGAGCTGGCTCTGACTCATGATGACCTTATGTATTAACAGAATGAAATGTTACATGGTCCTGCACCATCTTTATGATTTGATAACGAGCACAGGCAACCTCCAACTTAAAAATAGAAATACTTATGCATATATTTGTTTTAATGTCAGTTATCTGGGCCTTGGAACATACGTTCCTAATAGAAATGATGTGATCAGATTGCCATCTCATTTATCAAAACTCTACCTTCTTGTTTTTATGAAGAAATATCCCTGGTTATAGCTGGGGCAGATTGGCAACATGTCCATCTACTTTACTCTTTCCTACCTTTGAACGCTACTTTAGAAGGGATGTCTTAGTTATCTAGTGCTGCCATAACAGAAATATCACGTGGATGGTTTTAACGAGGAGAAGTTTATTTCCTCACAGTCAAAAGTAGGCTAAAAGTCCAAATTCAGGGCATTAGCTGCAGGGGAAGTCTTTCTCTGTCGGCCTTCTCATCAGTGTTCACCTGGACTAGGAGCTTCTCGGCGCAGGGACCCCGGTCCAAAGGCACTGCTTTCTTGATGGTATGAGGTCCCCCTGTCTGTCTGCTCACTTCTGTCTTTTATATCTCAAGAGATTGCCTCAGGACACAGTCCGGTCTTGTAGATCCAGTCGTGCCCTACTAACACAACTGCCACCCATCCTCCCTCATTAACATCCTAGAGGCAGGTTTACCACATACAGGAAAATCACGCAGTACCAGGAATCGTGGCCTAGCCAAATTGATACACACATTTTTTGGGGGACATAATTCAAACCATGACATTCCACCCTTTGGCCCCCCAAAAAATCACATCCTTGCGACATGGAAAACATATTCACCCCATCATATCATAGCAAAAGTCTTAACTCCAAGTCCAAAATCCAAAAATTCCTCTTCATCTATGAAATCTAGAATACAAGTTATCTGCTTCCAAAGGTACAATGGCAGAACAGGCACAAGCTAGACATTTCCATTACACATGGGAGAAACTGGAGGGAAAGAAGTGGTAACAGGCACCAAGCAAGTAACATATTACATTAGCCCTCAAGGCTTTGAAAATAATCTGTTCTCTGAGACAATTTACACAATAGCCCTGCCCTCCAGACTCTAGGTATTGGCCCCAGTCTCTGGATTTTGAGTGGAGGCCCCTCGGCCCTGGGCTTCAGCTCTGCCTTCCAGGCCCACTGGGACAGCAACTCTGCTCCCTTGGCTTTAGGTGCACCATTTTCCTACTCCATCTGAGTGACAACTCCACCCTTAGAAGCACCAGAGGCCATTGCTCCACCCTTTGAAACCCCTGAGGTCATGGCCACACCTTCTGAGGCTGAAGCAGCTTGGCTTCTTGTGTCCCTTGTCTCTTCAGCTTCTGTTTCCTGTGGCCTCTTGGCTCTGGGGCCTCACGCCCGCATCTGCCCTGCTGGGGCAGGTGTTCCAAAGCTCAGTAGCTCCACCGCTAAGTGCCGGGAGGCACCCCACTCCGCCAGGAAGCCTCCTGCACACAGGCAGTCAGCTCTCTCCGTGGGTCAGCTCCAGCGCCATCTTTCACTGGTCTCCTGGTTCTGCTGCTGTTGGTTCTCTGCTGCTGCTGCTTCTCTGCCGCTGTAGATTCTCTGCTGCTCCTGGTCCTCTGTCACTGCCGCACATCTATCCATTCACAGTTTTAAAACCGCCTCCACATTCTAGGTATCTGTTAGAGCAGCACCCCACTCTCTCAGTACCAAATTCTGTCTTAGTTATCTAGTGCTGCCATAACAGAAATACCACATGTGGATGGTTTTAACGAAGAGAAGTTTATTTCCTCACAGTCAAAGTATGCTAAAAGTCCAAATTCAGGGCGTCAGCTCCAGGGGAAGTCTTTCTCTCTCTGTCGGCCTTCTCTTCAGTGTTCCCCTGGACTAGGTGCAGGGACACTTGGTCCAAAGGACGCGCTCTGCTCCCGGCACTGCTTTCTTGATGGTATGAGGTCCCAACGTTTTAAAACTTTCAAACATGAAAGAGTGTACAGCACTTTGTTTAAAACACATAAGGTCAATAAACCTGAATTTAGGGGTGGAGGCAATAAGGTCTGTTCTGTATCAACCACTGTCTGAGCCTAGACCAAGACGATTACAGTCCTCTCATGACTCTGTCCATCTCTAAAGAAGAAAGTGATCATCTTATCCAGTCCCTCACCTCAGCCTCTGGGGGAAAAGGACCATCTGTCCAGTAGGCCCTTGCCTTTTCTTCTGTACTCTTAAATGCCTTTTGATTATCCACCCAAGTGACTGCTTGATTCTGATTGTTCTCAAGGTCAGCTGGTAAAATGTCAGCATATCACATGATTCTTTCTGCTCTCTCTCTCTCAGATGTAAGCAGTTTGGCCTTTACTCAAAAATGAACTTTTTTTTCCTTGTATCTGCCACTCCTCCATTCCCTACCCCATTCAGGCGTATTGGCTCCTTTGCTTGTGGTAAAACATATCTGCACTCTTCTCTTGGTGTGTGAGTCATTCTATGTATAATGAGTTTGATTTGCTTTCGCTGGAGGGTAAGAATGGAGAATGGTGTCCTCTGCTTCCACAAATACTTCTGCTAAACCAGTTTTGCTTCCAGTGTGTGTGTGTGTGTTTAAATCTTTTTTTTTAATTGTACTTTAGATGAAGATTTACAGAACAAATAGTTTCTCATTAAACAGTCAGTACACATAGTGTTTTATGACATTGGTTAACAACCCCACGACATGTCAACACTCTCCCTTCTTGACCTTGGAGGACCTTTTTTTGGTGAAAATATACATAGCCAAAGTTACACCATTCCAAAAATTTCTACGTGTACAATTCAGTGACATTGATGACATTTTTCTGGTTGTGCTGCTAGTCTCACTATCCTTTTCCAAATTATTCCATCACCATTGTCTTCAACTCACTGTCCGCTAGGCTTCCCATCAAATCCTTTGAGTTGCTGTTGTCAATTTGATCTAACACAGATAATTCTTTTTTTTTTTTTTGTACAAAGATGAAGGTTTGCAGAACAAATAGTTTCTCATTAAACAGTACACACATTGCCCTATGACGATTGTTAACCCCACAACATGTCGACCCTGTCCCTTCTCACCCTTGGGTTCCCTATCACCTGTCCCCTCCTGCCTTCTAGTCCTTGTGCCTGGACTGCTGTGCCTCATTAGTCCCGTTTTGTTTTATGAGGCTGTCCAATCCCTGGCTGAATGGTGAACCTCAGGAGTGACTTCACCACTGAGCTAAAAGGGTGACCGGGGGCCATACTCTTGGGGTTTCTCCAGTCTGTCAGGCCAGTAAATCTGGTCTTTTTTGTGTGAGTTAGAATTTTGTTCTACATCCTTTTCCAGCTCTGTCCAGAACCCTCTGTTGTGATCCCGGTCAGAGCAGTCACTGGTGGTAGCCGGACACCATCTAGCTGTCCTGGACTCAGTCTTGTGGAGGCCGTGGTAACTGTGGTCCCTTAGTCTTTTGGACTGATCTTTTCCTTGTATCTTGTTCTCTTCATTCTCCCTTGCTCCCGAAGGGGTAAGACCAGTGGAGTATCTTAGATGGCTGCTCACAGGCTGTAGACTGTAGAACACTGTCTTTATAAACTTGTTATGCCAGTTGAGCTAGATGTTCCCCGATACCATGGTCCCCACAGCCGTCTGCCCAGCAATTCAGTCCCTCAGGGAGTTTGTGGAGCTTCCATGACCTTTCCTTGTAAAAGTTGTGCTGGCTTCCCCAGTATTGTGTGCTGTCTTACCTTTCACCAAAGTTACCACTTATCTGTTGTCTATTTAGTTCCCCCGCCACCCCTCCCATCCCTCGTAACCAACAAAGATTGTTTCTTTTTGTGTATAAACTTTTACATGAGTTTTTACAGTAGAGGTCTGTAGTGGATTGAATTGTGTCCCCCCAAAAATGTGTGTAGCAACTTGGCTAGGTCATGATTCCCAGTATTGTATGATTGTGTGTGGGGATATATGCCATTTAAACATGGCTGCACTATTGACAACTGCAGCCCCCACAGGCCTCTATGCTGCACAACATGTTGAGACTTGCCCGCAACATGTTGAGACTTGTCACGACTGGTTTTCCCAAACCTATTGTCCCTTTACTGATTAGCTTGTTTACCTGAATTCCTTCTCCCTTGCCCACACCCAAAGCCCTTTGTTCTGTTATTTGCTTCACTGCTTGCTGTATTGACTATAAATAAACTGCTGGGACTGAAGCCGGGGTCGACTCCTCAGAGTGACCCTCCTGGCCCCACTTCTCTGTAAGAGTTGGGTTTGGCTACTGTCTTCGCCGCCCCGACATTCGCCACCGCTGCAACAGATGGTGCCCCGTGTGAGGATTCTGTAGACATCCTCGCACTCAATCCCTGAAGGTGGTAAGTACAGGATGCGTCCGTTTCGGGCAGCTCTTACAGCCCTGGGAGCAGCGGCGTTTTTCCGCAGGCGGAACTTTCCCGGACGTTCTCATCTCGGGCTGCTATAGCCCCGGGAGCGGCGGGGCTTTCTCGTAAGCTCCCTCAAGGGATTTCAGGCTTCGGGCCAGGAGCTTTCCTATCACTCTTTCCTTCATTTCCCTATTCCTGCTCACT